TGCCGGTACGTCTAGGTGTTGGTTGTCGCCGAGCCAGCCACCTGTGCGCTCTCCCACCTCCGGCCTTCTTGACTCTGACCTGACACTGGGCGTAGGTGGAGGAGTGAGTGTGGCGAGTACGGCACATTTTTATTGCCATTCTTACCTAATCACAAGCTGGTCACTATCTTGTCTTGCATTTGTTATACAGCACGCGGTTGTCGTCGTCGACAACGAAGATCGAACTGTTGTATATACAATTGACCGTCCGCTGGCAGATTGAGAATATGACATGACTACTCTGCTGAAGTTGATGGCGCTCGATTTAACTAGTCTTATCGTAAGTCGGTTGCTAGGCTCGATTAGCACCCCCTATCCGTTGCATGTCTGCGTCTCTCGGAGCTTGGTTCCTAGCATGACGATAGCCATTTTCGACCAATATAGACATAACTGATAAAATAATTGCCTGTGTTCTTCGATTTCTGGGCTTATCATCGAACGTATACAACAAGAACTGTACGATAATGAATGTCCTGAATATGAAACAATGATTTTGGCGGTGATATGTTTAGGACGCTTTCGTGATCATCAAGTAAGGTACTGATCCATCAAAATGAGAAAAACTCAGATAATAAAACAACGAGCATAACTCAGATCTTCAGATTCTACGGTGACCATCCGCTAATATACATAACAAGCTGTATAAGAAGCATGCGATAAGTACGCAAATACTGCAGCATTAGGAAGCAAAAGTGGACAGAATCCATTGTCTGTATGATCTGTTCAGGAGGAACAGTAACCTTCCACCGTTTGTCACCAGATGTCTGCGATGGCGTCCGAGGCAGGTGGCCTATGACGAAGATGAGACAGAATTTCTAATATTGCTTGCACTATCCTGACTCAAAAGCGTATCCAAGGTCACGGATCAGAAATTCCGCAGATTCTAAATTAAAGCCATACGCAAATCGGTGACTGTAGATAGATCGATAGATAGATAGATAATTTTTATTAAAGACCCGTCGGGGTCCCATCAAAGCAAGTTAAAATAAATTTGCATGCGAGTTTTAGACGAGGTAGGCCGAATCTTTACAAAATGCAATTCATAGTTTCTGAATTAGAAGTCCATTGAGAAACCTGATGATTGAGGGGTGAAAAAAAACTCCTTACAAAAAGTTAAAAGTGATTGGATTGATTTTACAGGAGAAAAAAAACCCCATAGAGCACAGGGAAAGCATGTTCGCCGAAAATTACCTAAATCTAGGTGTGCGGTCGAGTACTATTTACCACATTTCACGGGGTTCATGAGGAGTCCAGCTAGGGGTACAACGTGCGGGCCTGGTGGGTAGTTTCATTTGTCTCGTGCATGTAGTGGTCGTTTCACACGGCCTCTGACAAGACATCGTCTGTTCTCAGACGCAGTGATCCTAGCATTTGCCTAGGGTACATTTTCTAGTCCCATCCCCCGCGGACGGTTCCTAGCGTTACCCCTAAATAGGGCACTGGGTCATCCCAAGTAACTGACAAAATCCACTGTGTGTCAGGGTTTTTTTAACGGAAGAACAACTCGAGATAGCTTTAGCCGCCTACAGAATTACATGTGGCCCACTCCGTTGGACTTTTTCAAAGTGGCAGAGAGGAAAAATTGGAAGGGGAGCAGAATCACCGGGTATGACAACGTACAGCACCGCCTACCCTTATTTGGTTTAGCCCTCCGGTGAAGGCGGTCACCTGGATGTGGCCGCTATGTAGAGCCTAGTTAAGGATAGCTATAGATGACAGTGAAGTGTCAGTTAAGGACCTTGCGGAGCAGGCAGCACCTATACGAGTCAAATAAGGCAACCTACTAATCCTTCACGGTGTACCCCACACAAAAGATAGTTCAACCGGCGTTACTGACGGTGTCCACTGTGTGCTCCGCAGCAGACCGGGTGCACAGACAGTGACTTGCGCTGCACCCACCACACTCTCTCCTCCTTCACCCACCTGGGCCCGGTGACAGGACTAAATCGGGACGACTGGTGGTGGAGTCAGGCGCAGTGACTGACAGCCAGTCCATCTACGGATGCCACACGCGCCTGGTTCTAGCACGATGGACAAGATTTCCACACAAACATCACGGGGCTGGCTCCGATCCCAAGTAATCGGGAGTGCTATAGAGGCCACATTGAGAAGGAGTCAGTGTAGTTTGACTTCCTGTCCTGAGAAAAGGACCAAGTTATCTCCTAATTTGCAGCCATCTAAGCCGCGGATTTTAAAGCAGAGTGGTAGTCTAAAGGGGCGTCGGATTGGTTATATTGAATGATATGCGCTGAGTCCCTTGAGAACGGAGCTCTCGGCGTGGACTTCATGCTCTCTTCCATATTCCAGGCACCAGTCTTTTCTCCAAGTCTGTCCGTTGTATGTTGCGGGAATTTGGCGCAATAACTGAGAGAGCCAAAGTGACCGTCTGCAGGTGGCACACTGGACCTGGTCCCCGGCACAGCATACCACGCAGCCACACAAAAAGGAGTAGGCGGATGGGATCTCACATGTGTAGGAGCGCCATACATGCCACATTAAGAAAGAGCCATTGAGAGCGACTCTCAGTTTGTCAGTAAGTCCCCCAATACAAACCAACACAGGGCCGACTGACTGATTTATGCCGTCAGTAAACAGCCCTTCAAGCCACGGCATTTAGCGTATCATGATAGTTTAATGGAGCGTCAGATTATTTACGGTGAGGGATATGCACTGAGTGCCGTGGAGACGTAATCTCCGGAGTCAAGCTCCCCTTAACATCCCTCTCCCAGACACCCGTGCACTGTTCGGACCGACCAGCTGTCTGATGCTGGTATTGGGCACAAGTGGCTGGCGCGGCGCGAGTCTGCGTCTGGGCGTGTTACCGCACATCTCTTGTGCGGCATTTGCTTTGGGTGCGTAACCCGTTTCGCGCGCTCACTGAGTCGTATGGGCTACTGAAGGCCTAGCTGGCTTTGAAGATCCGATGTGCAACTCTATCGTCAATTTTGGTGTCCTGTGAGTCTGTGCTACCTAAATGAGTCAAATTATCCACCGTTTTGATTTGAGTGCCATTGACATGCATACGAGGGCGTTATATCTAGTGTTGGACTGTAACACCCAGTAGACCTGACGGACCAAAACCCTCACGTTTTGATCAGTGATCACTTTTTTGTAGATCATTCGTGACGTCGGAATACGTGCAGCCTGCTCACCGACAATCGACATCCCGATAAGTTCAGCTCTTCCATACTGTTCTATTTATCCACTAGCGTTTATATTGGTACCTACGTAGCTTTACAATCTTTACTCCACTACAATTTTCCGGTTTTTAACTGTTGTTCCCGTTGTATCTATGTGGCTCTCTATATCTTTACTCTTTACCGTTTTTCCAGTTTCCCGCTATCGTTCGCACTTATGCCGGCATATTTTTACAGCACCGTTACCCCTCTACATGATGACTCACATCTCAATAAACTACTTCTATTTCTCGATTGTTGTTTAACCACCTCCCATGATCCGCCTCTCTTCTCGTGAATGCTTGAATGATTGACCCTCAAGGATTAGATTCTGCCGGCAAAGAAACGGAAGTTATAAACTAACACGGGCTATACCCTGCCTACCCTTCCCCCGAGTCAGCCGGACGTTAAAAGGCATCGACTAGTGCATGACCATCGTTTTATCCGTTTTAATGGTCAGTCCAAATTGCAAGCAACCGGAGACTAAGAGGCCCATGCTTATTTGCATGGCCGTCAGTGTCGCGGCGTTGAATGCGCAGTCATCCCTTTAGGGCAGGCCGTGAATAGTAGTCGTGTGGAGACGCAATGGAGCCTGCATCCGTCGGATGGCTTCAACACTCGCATCGCAGAACTATTAAAGTGCTTTAGAGGGGAGAACGCTTGAACGACTGAATGCACCTTAGTCTTGCCTACATGCACACGTCAGCGCCATTAAGAAGTGCAATGATCTGCTTGGTATTCATTCCGTCCAGTTAGCTATCCATACGGCCGCATACTCCAACATTTCAAGGTTGTCTTGTTCAAGGGCACTTGACCTATAAATTTGACCTCACCCGTTCATCGGATTCACGGTGGATGGTTAGGCTCATCGGGTTTTGTTTAGCCTCTGGTACTGTTTGGGAGTACGGTTAGTTGTTGGAGGTACTTAATAAGCCCAAATGAGCTTGCGACCCACTCAGATTTACGTCCGCTTCAATGTATTCTCTAGAACGGAGGGGTTGCCAAAAGGTCAAATTATATGTCGCTGATGTTTTTATGCACAGAGCAGGTGACTGACGGGCCTGAATTTCCTTCGGAAGTGGGAGTACAGAGCCTTTTGAACAATGCTCAGCGCTGTCTTCGGACATGTGCCATTCAACCATAGTCAAGTATATTATTTCCTCTGAAGTTAATGTAAGTACAAATTGGCATACAGTATCCTTCTAAAACTTGGAAGCACATACATGACTACCCGGTAACCGTTGCGCACTAAGTTTTGCAAAAGTACATGCTAAAACTACCGAAATAGATACTTTTTTATAATCTTCCATCCAACAAAGATCAGACCGTTAACTTAAGTGGTACGGTAGACCATATAGTCAGAAAATGACATAACAGACCTGTTAACTGTCGCTTTCAAATAGAAGCTTTAGAGATCAGTGACGGACGGGGTCACATTTAACAAATCCCTACCGTCATATCGGTGCCACCGAGCGTAATGTACTACCTTTTCACTAAAGTGGATATTCCAAATAAGGCAAAAGCCGCATTTAAACAATAGAAAATATTTAAGAACGTTAGAAAATATCGACAGATGCATTGATATTGCAATAACAGATGCTCTGGTTTATCGCGATCAGAGTCGATTAGGATGCTATTCAGTCACCCATGTCAAGGAATTTGTGGTCCATTGTGAGTATTTGTAGAAGTGGGTTATAGAGTCCTTCCGGGTTCCACACACTCTTCTGGCATAGCACTATCCCACGCTTCCGCTCATATCTGTGATAACCGTTTGCCATTCAGCAATCAGCTATTAGAATTCTCGTTCAGGGCACAAAGATGCTTGGCGGCAGTAAATTCTAGTGCTGCATTGTTTTTTCTGAGGTACTCGTCAAGCATATCCTCCATCACTAGTGCATCGAGGCCAGGCTGAGACAGTTCCTCGATTCCCATTAAAGTTACGTCTTCGGCAATCTTTTCAATAACTCGATCCATCTCTCCCAATGTGGCATGTTCCGGAACAGACTTCTCCATTTGATCTACCAGCGGTTTATACAGGAGACATGATGTTCTTTCGAGGACCTCGGCTGACGCACAGGTGATGCGCGTCTTCTGTACGTCGACATCCCCTCCACATTTCTGCCTTTCCGTTTCTGGTAAAGTAGGCGCCTCTTGCAAAATCTCTTCAACATTATCTAATTGTAATAGGCAGGCTTTCAGCCTCTCTGCCGCGTTATCTCTCTTAATCCTTGTAACTTCTCCGAGGGTTGCACCTCGGTTTGCCTCCAAATGAATTGGAGTCTCAACTTTTAGTGAGGATATTGAAGATATCACCGTTTCGGAGGCCCCCCCTGGGACTAACTTCCTTGAGGGATGCAGAATTTCGATGGTGAGCCGATCTCCACCGCAGTGCCCGTCAGCCGTCTCCTGGCCTTCGGCTTCGCCCTTCAGAGATTCTGGGGCGAGTTGAGTCAGAAGATGGGTCGTCGAAAAAGCCGTCTCTGCAGGCTCGGTGGCTTTGCTCATATCGAAAACTATAAACTTATTACCTTTTGTTGGTGCAAGTCTGTTCTTGGATACACAGACCCTCTGGCGAATTGGCTTTTATCAAGGACCAGCAGTTCAAACTGAGCGAAATTTGATAAATAAGTTCACATAGGAGAACATAGAGTCTGCTGTTGTGTTTGTTCAGCAGGATTTCGTATAGTTTAAAAAGCAGTGCAAATGAAAGTAAACAGTCCTTTAGGTAGAAGGAAAATGAGGGCCAGTACAGCTCTAGCTCTTCCAAGCGTATATCCAGTGGAAGGGTCTTTAAATATCCAGACATTTTTGGTTGAATTATAGGGTTCTCCGGTTTATAGAACAGTCTCATGCGTACTATTCGTTCTAGAGACTGGATGAACTGAAAACTCAAGCGGCACAACGGATCCTCCAAGACCAGCGACTTTAAGATGCGTAAAAACAGGGAACACTTCTGCCCAGAATGCTTTAAGCAAAATAAGTGTCCAGTATGTGCTACAAAGAAGTCCGAGCACTGAAAAACCAAGGTGTCAAACAAACGTGCAATGTGCAACAGCCGGCCCCCTTTGACCACTTCCATAGCATACGCCAGAATGTCCTCATAATGAACAACTTTCTCGCACCTTT